TTCTCTTGTTCTACTCTTCTTGCCTGCTCCGAAAGTAGAGATTCCAGAAGAAGAAGTTGTTGCTTCTGCTATGGAAATTCAACCTTCAGATGTTGCAGCTTCTATGTTGGTTGAGTTTGGGAAGACTGATGTTGAAGTTGGTAACACTTCTGGGCTATTGAAGACTGTTGTTGCTGAAGAGACCCCTTCTAGGATAAAGGAAACTCTGGGTAAGCTGAAGAAGACAAATTCTTTAATTCAAGCTCGTTTGGACAAGCAAGATGAAAGAGCTGATTGACATGATGCTTTTATCACTTCGCTTGCCAACATGATGAAGGATTTTATGGCCAGGATTTTGTCTCCTCCTCCACCAAACCCTTAGACCCTTGTTTTACCTTTTTTTTAGAACTATAAATTTTATGTATTTCTAAAATTTTTGTACAATTGGTTTTTGGTTAATGAAAATTTTCTTTTGTCTCTTTAAATATTTTTTATTTCGGACAAAGGAGAAGAAAGTGATGTGATTTTGATATATCTATTCTCAGAATATTGTTCCCAAACATGTTTTGATGTTTTTGCCACTAATTTTGTTTGACTCGGGAACTTTGAGAAAGTTCACTGAATTTATCTTAACAGGCTAGCCCGGAAGCTCTGAAGGATATTCATAATCTAGAGATTTAGAAGTCATAGGTTAGTTTTTCTTTATGAAAGAATTTTCAACCAGACTCTGAAGGTTTGACAAGTTTAATCAGACTTTGATACATCATCGTCTTCTGATAGCAAGCCAGAATCTGAGATGAAGATTTCTGCATCTCTAGTCAGACTCATTGTAGTCCTTCAATTCGGGAAGTATTCCTTCGTTCTAATTGATTCATGCTATTTTCTCAAAACTTCTTTAAGTCTTAAATTCATGGGGAGACTCTAAACAAGATTAAACAAGTTCTGGGAATATAGAATTCAGGAGAAGTTGTTTAATTAACTCTGAATTGCTTTTATGTGATTAGACTGGTATAAATTATTTATTAAAATACATAGTTTTGTCATCATCAAAAAGGGGGAGATTGTAAGAAAAATATTTGGTTCTGCATCTGTCTTGAGTTTTGATGATAAAATTACATGGGTAATTAGATAACAATTTAGTACCCTAATGGTTTGTTTAGTGTGTAGCTTTTGCTAATAGTTTCTGACTATGAAGAATTGATGTGTGACATCATCAGATTCTGGATTCAACATATTAAGAGATACAAATGCGTGTGTCATTGGGTATAATTCTTCTTAAAACAACAGTTATGATTAACGTTGGTTTTATTGCTTCTAACTATGACTTTGTAGTAGAGCTTCTGAAGGACCAACGTGTTGAAGATTCTGAAGACAGTGTTTTGTTGAACAACGTGTTGAAGATTCTGAAGACAGTGTTTTGTTGAACAAGTTCTGAAGACTCTGAAGACCAAGATTCTGAAGACTGATTTTTTATCCTTCTATGCATGTTTCAACTCTTACATATTATGAAAGTCTTTAAAGACTACAAGAGAATATCAAAGGTCTCACATGAAGTGATAATACAAACTCAGATCCTTCCACTACCCTGTTTTTGTGGCGCAAGAACTATACTATGGATATTATGTTATCTACCACTCACACTGACAGTTGTAAGAAGATAGCTGGAATTTTGGTATTCCTATTCTACTTTCCAACGAATTCTTTTTGCCCGTAAAAGGAAGACTTGGAATAATTGGAATCGTCGAAGAACTTTGAAAAAACTAACGCTGATTCAAATTGTTGAAATGCTACCAAAATAACTCTATAATTTTTGTAAAGCAAGAAACTTTTGTTTATTAACTTGCTAGTAAGGAACTGTTGTTTGCTAACTTTCTTAACAATGTTGTGTTACAATTTGTTCTTCATTTTTGTGTAATATGCTTTCAAGAAGTCATTGACGGATTGTCTTTGAGGTTTTGTTCCTTGAGAGACTAGGAATTTAGTCAGGATTCTCAAGAAGACATTGACATTTTGTCTTTGTGGATTGTAATCAGTTTGGTTATAGTGGATTAAGTCTTTGATTGAGAAAGACAAATCACTTTGGTGGATGGACTGGATTAACTTCATTAACAGTGAACCAGAATAAAAATAATTGCGTTCATTTATTTTTGTTCTTGTGTTAACTTTTTGTGGTTGGTTTTGAAAGATTTTATTTCTAAAAATCCAATTTAAATCCCTCATTTCTTATGTTTCTCGCACCTTCAAATGTTACAAGCAACGTGCATTCAATTCAAGTATTATGTAGTCAATATTTTTAAGCATAATCTAATCACAATGTTATAATGATGTTGTCACAATGTTAATACAGTAAACATAATTGAATTGCTAAAACTTAAACCAACTGAATTGTTGCAACTTCATTCATTCATAAAACGTATTACAACATTCTGGGTAATTTATTACAACATAAAATAAATAACATAGCAATATATCCTAAAACTTATTCACCTAAAACCTATTTTATCAATGCTGAAACAACTAAACAAACAATACAACAAAAATATCTTCCATACTTATAAGTAACATACTTCACTTCCTCTTTACATATGTAACTCCAAACCATAATATTTTAATATTATTTTCAAAATATATTTTACATTTTTTAAAAATTTAATAGGTTGCTTGTTGGATTTTATGTGTTCTTTTATCTTTTTGTTTGTTATTGTGATATCTTTTTATAAAATACACCTTTGATAAAGACGAAAATATGGAAGAAACTGATATTTGATTGGACTAAAAGGCATGTTTGTTTCAGTTTATAGTGTAACATATTTTTGTTGAAAATAATTTATAAAGAATTAAAAAAAAATTCAGATCAAAAATTAGTTTGAATAATTATTCTTAAAATGTTATTTAACCTTTTTGATATAATTTTTATTATATTAAAATTTCAAATGGTGCAGATTTAATATTTGATAAATAAATAAAGTAGAGAGAATAACACTATACTATCAAATAAGTATCCATCATAAAAAACAAGAGAACAAATCCAATAAATTCACTAATACAAACCACCCCATGTCTGCTACCAAAGAACACTAACAGAAGCGTTAGGATCCTCTCCATTTTTCTCTCTCTCTCCATTTTTTTCATTACTATAGTTTTATGTAGGTGGTGGTAAAATAGATTCAGTCTATTAGATATATTTGTTTTGCCTATACTTTAGTGTGGAGGCGGATCAAGAATTTAGACTCTCGCCTTCTAATCTGACTGTTCCGCCTCGTTTTTTTCACGGACATAAACATTAATATAAAATTTTGTATTTTTAGATTTAAAATATACAATATCTGTAGACTTTTCTGTCTCACACTCACTTTTTTACGGGATGGACCTAGATTTTAGATCTGCATCCTCAACTATGTCCGCTCCATCCTATTTTTTTCAGATTTTTACAGGACGAACCTAAACAAGATAGATATACCCGTTTGTCATTCCTAATTTTACGTGTAAATAACATAAAGACATGTGACATATATTTAATAATTATTTAACTTTACATACATAAAAGCATAGTAATGTAAATTTTCATTTATTTTAAGAAGGAGAAGATCCTAATCCTCAACATAGAGTCATGCCAATAGAATCAACATATCAGGTTCCTTAGGAGGGAAAGCACCAGAGGACATTGATATGGAGTAATCAATTAGCTATGTGACAATATGTTAACATGATTTTATAAAGAAGATGAAGCAAAAGAAGGACACTAAAACTTTAATAAAATACCAAAAGTTAAGAAAATAAAAATGGAAAAAGCTAATATGTACTCCAAGGGCATAGGTTAATAAGTTATTTATAGAAATATTATCTTAACACGCGTGTATTTAATGTTTTAAAATTTTAAATATAATTTTATTATATTTAATTACATTTAAATTTTTTTTAATTATAGTATCTTTAACATGTGCTTTTAGAACACATGTTAGCATGATCCAATAAAAATTAGAAAGATAAATATATAATAAAAAACGAAATAACTAGACTACTAACTTAGAAATATAAAACATCCAATAGCACAAGTCCAATCAATTATTATCTAAAACTAATATTCAGTGAAAGAGGAATACAAAAAGAATTTCTTATATGTCATGATATGGCATAAAGAATAAGAGGTGTGAAGAGGACTCAGGAGCAAGCTGAAAAATGAGTATGCATACAGTATCAAGAGGGCTCCGGGGTGAGGGTCATAAGGAAGAATAAAAATTGATAGAAGTGGGAATCCAATGCATCAATCAGTATCACAACATGAGACTAAAATGAACCAGCAGGCATCAAGTTGATTGTGAGAGAAGCTAGTATGACTCCAACAATGTGCTTCTATCCAGAAACTAGATCAAACTGAAACAGTAGAAGCAGAAAATTGAAGGATGAAACTCAAGAGGAGTACCAACCTCATTATCAGTGTGAAGGGAAAACAGAAAATCTTAACAGAATAACTTGGCTTTGTCGAAAGTTTCATTACAATTTTTTTGAAGAAATAAAACATATATACTGCGTTGCACCGGTTCGAGTACGGGTACGAAATACCGCATTTTTAGACCAAAACTATGACCCAATTGCTCAAATGTATGCAATACCTGCTTATAATATCATTAAATATCATATTAAAGTTGCTACAAGAAATATTTCAAGTGATGTTTCAATGACAACAAACACTCTATGAAGATCTGAAGTATTCTGAACATTTACATATCAACATGTGTGCTTGACTGAAGCAAAACAGTACAGATTCAGAATGTTCTCTACCATTTATAGTACCAAAAAGCTCGAAGAATCAGAGGAAAACAACATAAGAACGCAAGCGTGCATCACAATTCTCAAAGTCAATAGTGAGCATCCTCATATCCAAGCTTCTTAAGTGGAGAAGGATCTACCAATCATCGACTCTACATGTTTAGAAGTACTTTCATACCAGAGACTGCATATTTGAAGAAACATGTCTTAAAAGTGAAACAAAAGTTTAAAACAAAAACTAACTAGTTACCTTAGAAATTGGCAGGACTATCATCCAATTGTTTCTCATTTTCGATTTCAACCTCTAAAATCTCCTGAAACCAAATCATAAAAGGGCAACAAGTTTTTGTAATGGTGAAGTTTTGATTGAAAATTCGGATATAAATATAATAGTATCATTTAGTAGGATATAATAAAGATTATACAAAAATTGAAGGCAAACGGACAATCAGCTAGCCGCTACGCCTTTTGGACGACAAAATCAATTCTCTTAAAAATTATATTCATTGTCCAAGAAGACACAGCATTGTTATGCATTAGCCTTTGAATTGTCTATAAAAGATCCATGGTTTCTAGCTTCTGGTGCTAGAAAACCAAATGTTTCAAAAGCAAATGAATACAAGACTGAGAAAGAAAAACAAAGAGACTTACAGGAATTCTCTGTTTGAGATAATTGGCGAGTCGGGCGAGAACGGTTGAACGTTTGTGCCAAAACCTACCCTTGAGACTAATGGTCACATAAGGTCCATCCAACTCCACCAATTCAACTGCACCTGAAACATAAGTTCAAGATATTTAATGTAATTTAACACCATATTTATAATTATTATCACACAATCAAATTGTTGGTGTTTAATTCATCAACATACCTGTCATACCAACAGAAGTGTCAAAGATTTGACCAAGCTCAGCTCGAGCATCTACCAAAGCCTGTCTCACGTTGTCTTCTGTAAGGTCAAGTGGCTGTGGAACCGAAGGAGATGCTGATACAGGCTTCACCTTCCATCTCTGTTTACCACTTATGAGAAATGGAAGGTCGAGTCTTTGGACGTGGATTGTTCTTAACGAAGCCTTTTGTGTAGGGTAACTGGTGGTGTAGCATGGAGTGGCTGAGGAGAGTTTCGGTGAACTGTGAAAGATACAACACAGTGTCAGGGTCTTCTGGGAAAGGGACATACCTATTTTTCCTTTCAAAAGAAAGTTGCTTGAATTTCTAAAGAAAGAGTTTCAGAGGAGACGCAACACAGCCAAGGAGTGTGTGTTGAGTATAGAGTATCTGGATATGGATAATGAACATCCTCAAACACTTCCCTAAATAAAAGTACAAATGTTTGACTAAGCTTATAAATAAGTTCATTTAAAAATAATTTAGTTTTTTTAAGAAATTGAAAAAAAAAAATTCCTCACAAACGGTAACAAATGGGCTCACAAAAATATTTTAAGATTGATTAAAATTAATCTCAAGTTCAAATAAGTTATAATTAATAGGATGTTCCTTGGGATCATTAGGAAATCACAGCCTAATTTCAATGGGTTCCAACCAGAAAAAACTCGTTTCATTGACTGATTGGAAGAAATTAGAGGTTGTGAAGAGTAAGGAAAAGTGGTTTAAACAAGAACTGAGTCACTGTTTCATGATCATAACTGAGAAAAGTGACACATCACCAAAAACTATAGTTGATGTGAAACTTATTGCTCACACTTGTTTTAGATGTAAATATAAATGTTTAAGTCCACGTCATATATAAATGAGTGGAATGTTGGATTTATAATAGAATAATGACTCATATCTAACCACTAAAGATTTTGGGTCGAGACGGGGATCTCACACTGAGTCCTGAAGCATTGGCCTCAATTAGTCCTGAAGCATTTTAAATGCACCTAAATTTAGTTTAGTATTTCTTTAGGTGAAATAGCTCATTGCTTAATTAAATCACATAGCAACACAACTGCTTAAAGTTTAATTATAAATGAAAGTATTATTCATACACATGCATGATATACAGATAATACATTAATTCATAATTCACTCCAAAATCAAGGTACGCAAACATGCTTCAATAACCACACTTTCGCACCTCATAAATTTTTTTTATTGTGATTACACGGGCCTAAGCCCATAGACCTCATAGTTTAAAATGGATAGAATTGCATAAAACAAAATCCTTTTACATCCCAAATGATACAGATGAGTAGCTGATACTCATAGCAATTTACTACACAGTTACTACACAGCAGCAAAGTACTCTTTGCTAAGTTTGGGGTCTGGTTTCATGGACTTCTCACCAGGCTTCCACCCAGCAGGGCAAACTTCGTCTGGGTTCTCCTGCACATACTGCAAGGCCTGCGAGTCGAATGCATAAATGGGGTCAAACATAGTATTATTTAAGGATAGAAGGGTAAAAAGTAAAAATAAAATAAAAATACTCAAAAGTGGTCAATCCTGATGTGGTGCAGATTGTATATGCAATTACCTGGAGTGTTCTCTTTGTCTCGTCAACACTTCTACCAATTCCGAGGTTGTTGATGGTAGAATGTTGGATAACCCCTTCCTTGTCAATTATGAACAATCCTCTCAATGCTATCCCCTGAATCATTGAAAATATTTTTTCAATCATTGTAACAGATCCAAAAATAGTGGAATAAAAGGCAACAGCTCACAGCTTCATATACTGAAGCTACTACCTAGACGAAATACTGAAACTATTGCCTACACAGCACCTTATTCCTATATTTCATTCCAGAGAAATATTGGAACTAAAGCACAAAAGACTTTGAATTTGATAGGAAAAAAACAAATAGCTACAGTTTAGGTCGTTGTGTCAAAACTTACCTGATCAGGAATGAGAACATTGTAAGATTTTGATATGGATTTGGTGACATCAGAAACCAAAGGATAGTTCAAGTCACCAAGACCACCAGACTTTCTATCTGTTTGAACCCATGCAAGATGCGAGAACTACAATAAAAACAATAGTGCTACTAATCAAGAAGCAGACTTTTGAAGTTCCTTTGGATTGGACATAAAAAGATAGTTATAAATCACACTAAATCTATAGTCAGAAAATCAAGGAAAACACATTTGCATTTAAAGGAGTTTGAATGAATTTTACAACTGATATTTTGACTTTAATCCTAGTCCTACATACACATGTAGCCAGTTGCGAGAAATGTCTGGGGAAAAATCTATATAAGAGCTAACAGCGGCAGAAATAATTATTAAAAAAAAGTCAAAACTAACCACACTGTCAACTGAAACACCCAATATCTCTGTATTAAGTTCTGCAAATTCTGCATGGCGGTCACTGAAAGCGGTGATTTCTATAGACAAGTAACAGATGTTAGACTGAAAAAGACAAGATTTGGCATCTTATATATACATTACTATCAAACCAACTAACCAGTGGGACAAACAAATGTGAAATCCAATGGGTAGAAAAAGAGGATAACATATTTCTTCCCAATATACTCAGATAGTTTGACCTGAAAAAACATTGCTTTAGTCAATGATAAATAAATTATGAAAGAAAACACTTCACAACCAACAGTCAGTCTACCTTGATAAACTCCTGATCGAAAACAGCTTCAGCTTCAAAATCCGGCGCTGAGTTCCCAACTAATGGCAATTCACTCTTTAAACAGAAACGAAAATTTATTAATTAACTAATTCAAACATTAAGCAAGAGAAAAACAACGCTCTGAAACTTGTATTCTCAACTTCATTAAGACCAGCACACAAATTCAATAATTGGAAGTTAATTAAGACCAACACACAAATGAACGGATAATCAAGAAATTTAATTTCAATTTCATGCTCATAAGCCTCAAGATGTAAGAGTCATGAATGCCTAATTGCGCTTCTGGTTTTAAATCACTCCAATTGTATTTCACAGTTGCAGCAGTAACCTCTATAGCACCGACACTCCTGAAAAAACGTGTGTACGTGTCTGAAACCGACACATACACTTCTCTAACGTTTAATTTATTCATCTTTTTCAAATTATTACTCGTGTCTAGGCGTCAGTATCGTGTTTCGTGTCTGTGGCAGTTACTAACATATCTATCAATTAATAAGCTCAACAACAATGCTGCAAACAGACACTCAACCATAACCACACAAATAAATCCGAAACCATAAGTCACATTAACCAAAGACTCAAACAAACAATAACAAAAATAAAACAACAACTAAACAACTTCAAACTAGTAGTTGTAAAGATTGAAGTAAAGCGAGGTTGTTGAAGAACTTACAGAAGCCCTAACGACGAAACTGCGGCGGGAGGAAGAGGGGCGGTTGAGGGAAGTGCGAAGTTTGGGAAGGGAATTGGAGGCATTGGGGATGGAGAGAGAAGAGAGACGAGGAGAAGAGAATTTGGGAGAGAAGAGTGTGTTAGGGTTTGGAGATAGGAGAGAAGCAGATGGAGCTGAGCAGGCCATGAATGAGAGGCGGAGTGTGAGGTGGGAGGAAATGGAAGATAGAGATAGGGAGATAGCAATAAAGTGTATATGTATATACTTCACCTCAAATATGAGATGTACTCCTTTTGTCTATATTATAAAAATTTTATAAAAAAATGTTGAAAATTTGTGTATTTTCAATAAATAAATAAAAATGAACTTTTTATATTAATTTATAATATTTTTATGTTATTTAGTCTTATATTTTTTTGTTATTAAGAAACATTTTGATATAAAGTTTGACATTTTAATATTTAGTTTTGTTAGTGGGATACTTGCAAACGCTAACGCTTAAGTTGTGACGGTCGAAAATAATAAATATTTAGAGTTTGATATTATATATTTAAATATGAGTTTTTCGTTAGCCTTTTATACTAGGATCATAGGGTTTAGGTCCGTAGAATCTTTTCTTCGAGACATTGAATATTATTAGAAAAACACATAAAAAAATTTGAATTATATTGGCTAAAACATTTTCAATTTAATAGCTTGAATAGGTTCAAGTCAACGATTTGATAATTTGAAGTTCACCTGAGGAACCAAGTGATAGAATGAGTACCATGACAAGATGATGGTGTTGATAACATCTACCAGTAAGTACCATTATGAGTAATTAAGATGTGTCTCTAATCGTTGTTGCAGTCAAGTGTTATACTCGAGCAAGTCATTAAGGCATGATGTAATAATCGGTAAAAAATAGAGTCGTCGTCACCATTAATTTTTATGGTAAGACGAAAATATAATAAAATAACCCTAATTGATGATACATAGATTCTAAATTTTTGACTCACTTTAAACGAAGAGAAGGTGTTAGGCACCTTTCATCTACATTGGTCATAAGGATACTACGGTTTAGGTTTAAGGTTTAGGAATATGGTTTTAATTTTTTAATTAGAGGAACTCGTCTTGGTTTTTAAACCGCGTGCCTACGTACTCTTATGAATAATCAGAATCCCGATTCGTAGTTTGAAGTGTTTGGTTATATTTTTTGTATGGATTGTAGAAGTATTTTGAATTAATCCTTGAACAAAGTCTGAGTTAAAAATAGCGGAATCGTAGACGCGGTTCGCAATTAATATAAAAGATCTCCACAATCATTTTTGAAAATATCTTGAATTTGAAATAAGTTAGTAAAAAAGAAATTAGTATTTGATTGGTTAACTATTTTAGAAAATGTTATGCAATATGTAAAAAAAAAAAAAATTGAATGAGAAAAAGATTTAATGCAGTTAAGAAATAGGGTTAGTGTTTTAGAAAATATTTAATTAATAAGTAATTTTTTTTTCCAATTATTAAAAATATATTAAGTATTTTTGATAAAATATCTAATAATTATTTATTAATATGCAAAATTATAATTTAATGCAAATTACTATATATATATATATATATATATATATATATATATATATATATATATATATATATATATATATATATATATATATATATATATATATATATATATATATATATATATATATATATATATATATATATATATGCTAATTAAATGAAGAAAATAGAATAAATTAATTAATTAAAGGAGGAGTGTAAAAGTTAAATCTCGAACGTATTTTATTATTCAAAAGAAACTAAAGTCATTTTTTAGATTTTTGTATTTTTCTATTATTTTTTTATATTTTTAATAATGAATAAAAGTTAACATAAAAAAAATCTTTTTTTAATACTAATAAGAAGAAGAAGAAAAGTTAAAGTTAGAAAAAAGAATTTTTAGATTTAGAAAAAAGAGTTTTTCTATAATAAAAAAGTTTAAGATTAAAAAAATATTTTTTTAAGATTAGAGAAAAGATTTTTTTATAAAAAAAAAGTGAAGATAATAATAATAAAAAACAGGAATATCATAAACCATAAATAAAATAAATAGCAATCAAACAATCAAACCAAAATTCAAACAAGAATAAATTTTAATCTACATCAAATACAATATTCATACACATGCTTAAAGATATAAAAAAAAATATCAATTTAGAATATCGTGACCAAATTAAGTTGCTTCCTCTATCTTTTTTTTCTTTTTCTTTGTGCTTTTCTCCTTTCTCCTTCGGTGCAAGATTCCCTTTTTTTCTTCGGTACAAGATCCCTCTTTTTTCAGATTGATGATGGAATGAAGACCATTTTAGGAGAACTCTAGTGAATTGTTGATCTGCAAATGATTATTAATTCTCCAAATGGTTGCTGATAAAAATTTTAGGGTAAAGAAAGCCCTATTTATATATTTGAAATTAGGTTAAAGACACACCCAAAAAGGAAATAGTCCACACCAAAAAAAACCCAAAATTTATGATGTTATCTTGGTCAGCAAGTCTAAAAACTCTGACCAATAAGAAATCAGTTTTGTCAACATGTGACCAATCAGAAAGTGACAAATCATGTGATTTTGTTGTTTTTATATTTTATATAATTTTTTGGTTATTTTTTAATTAAAAATTGAAGTGAAAAAAAACTATTTTTGAATATTTTTGAATTAATAAATACGAAAATAATAATTTAATATTAAAAAATGATTTTTTGGGGAAAAAATATACTAATTGAGACTTGATTGAAATTTGGAGGACAAGATTATGAACCTAAATACTATTGTGATTTTTTCTCAATATTGTGATTGATTTGGTGATTAATAAAAATTGATTTTAAATACCAAAAAATAGTGTAATGGGACTTGAACTCAATAACTTCCACTTGCAAGTCTTACCTTCTTATCAACTATGTTATGTTATTTTATTCGAGACAAAAAGGAACATAGAAGCATATGAAGGTGGGAAAATATTTTGCTATTTTAAAAAAATAAATAATTTAAAGTAAATTATTATATATTCTAAATAAGAAAAAATAAATTATTGTTAAATCAAATGTGAGTAATACTCAAACATTTATGAAACCAAGTTTAAAAATAATTTGAATATTTTAAAAAATGGGGCAGGCAAATTTGAGGTATGACATCTGCCCTTATTTAATTACTCTTCGATTGAAGCGTATGAGTATACAAATTTTTTCACATTCGAATCGGAGGATTATTAAATGATGGAAGACCCCAAAATTTAGACCAAAGATTATAAAGATACATTGTACAACACTCCCAATAGTACGGAAAAATAGGCAAAGACGATGATGTATCATCCTACCAGAGTTAGAGCGAAAAGTGAGATTGACCTAGATATGACGATGCAGACAACTTGTCAATACCTAGAAAAAAGATCATAGATTTTTCATATTTACGGTAACCTAGGAGGTAAATAACACAAGTTTGAAAATTGACGTACTGACGCTTCGAGACTAATATAGTAAACTTATAACACATATTTTATCTATTCACCACAGCCTAGGGAATGAATAAAACAGGTTTGATAATTCATTGTCGCATGAAGACTTAACACAATAAATTATATCGCAGAGAGACAGATAATCTATTGTTGCTTCGAGACTAGCGCAATTAGTTATATCGCAAATTTTGTATATTTACTACAATCTAGGGAGTAAATAATACAAATAAGGTTTGTGTATTTATCATGACCTAAAGGATAAATAACACAAATCTAATAACTCGTTATCGCTTAGAGACTGACACAATGAACTATAAATTTTCGAATACCTACCAAAACTTACGTGGTAGATAACACGAGTATAGGCTTGTGTATTTATCATGACCTAGAGGATAAATAACATAAATCTAATAATTCATTATCGCTTAGAGACTGACAGAATGGACTATAGATTTTTCACATACCTACCACAACCTAGAGGATAGATAACACGAGTATATGCTTGTGTATTTATCACGACCTAAAAGGATAAATAACACAAACCTAATATTTCATTATCGCTTAGAGACTGACATAATGAAATATAGATTTTCGCATACCTACCACAACCTAGGAGATAGATAATACGAGTTAGATAACTTATCGCTGCTTTAAAGACTAATGCAATAAGTTATATCGCGGATTTTGCATATTTATTACAACCTAGGGAATAAATGATGTGAGTTTGAAATTTAAAAAGTGTTTTGATAATCAAATCTTAGATAACTAAACTAAAGATAAGATCAAAGTTTAAGAGTTGTGTCTGTTCTCAACCAAGGTGTTTATTTGTTTTTTCATAGATAAATTAATTCAACAATAGGCCCCAAGAAAATTTGTAGTATTCTTACCCAAAATAGATTTGAAAATGCCATGCACGATGTATATGCACGATACCCTAAATTGATATGAAACCCAAATGTATATGTATATGCACCAAATGTTATAAATGTTTTTTTCTTTTGTAACGCGTGTTTTCGCTTGCTTCGAAGTTAGTTGTCTTGAGGTTGTTATTTTGAAATTTTTGAAATTGACTCGAATGCTTTTTGACCGGTGCCCCTATGATGGGTCGTAGATGGTTAAGGCGCAAAGAAGTTGCTCATGTAACAAGGTTGCTTGTCACATGGTGGTAGGGTGTTATGCTGACATGATCTCTTGATACTCTTTTTGAACTTGTAGATTGCTGACGTAGGAGAAGGATCCACTAGGGATTGTGAAAGTACGCTGAGAGCTTGCCCCTTTATGGAATGTCTTGCCCCAATTTGCCGGTAGGGTCTTTGAAAATACTCTCCTTGATATGATTTTGAAAGTAGTTTGATCATAGTATGAATGACCCCACTATCTTGAATTATGCCCCTGATTAATGGACTCTTGAAGATATTCGCCCTTGATGAACCATTTTGAATCAAATTATTTTGATCGAGCCTTGTAGTGATCTTCCCCCATATTCGAGTTTTTGAAAGATATCTCCCTCAATCTCTAGGATCTGGAGGAAGTACCCTTATAAAGAACTTGGATCTCACCATGATGTGATATAAAATTGATATGGATTGTCCCAAGTATTTGAATCTTAAAGAGTCCGTCCTTGAAGTGGTTTAAGAGAGAAATTGGACCCTACGGGTCATAGGATGAACTTGGTATAAACTGCCTTTAATATTT